AAATGAACTCCATAATATCGCTGTTAAATTAACTTACAGTTATTCTCCGGAAAACATAATATTAAGAAAAACCTAAAGTAAGACAAAGTTTATTAATAGGTCCTTAATCATTTACTTAATTTATTTAATTCACTTTTAATTAATGCCTACTTACATCAGTAAGTACAATATTTATACTAAAATAATGTTAATGGGGAAAGCAAGTTCTCTATTATTTGTATGTCTGCGTAATAGGTACGTATGGTTGATAAATTTGCAATATCGCGGTTTACAGATAGTGTTATAAACAGTAACGAAGTATCAACAAATAATCTTATGTTGTTCAACGAAACATCTTAATTGTTACCAAGAAATTGCTACCATTTATTATTTCAGAGATGTTTTGTGTAATAATCGCAAATGTAAAACTTAGAAATGATTTTATCTGTTTTAATATCTATAGACATCTATATTGTGGTATTAAAAAACAAGCAAATGGCAGGTCACTTTTGTGTATATTATAAGAAATACTTTAGCCTATGTACGTGTCTATATCGTACTATTATGTACGATGAGGGTGATAAGATAAATCTGCAAGATTAGCTTCCTTATAACCCAATCAATTTAAGAAGACAAAGCTGAAGTGAAAGAGCGCGTCCGTTCCAGAAAGTGCTCTTAGAACAAAACGAAAGACATACCGCTTTAAAAACGTTGAGAAGTATATAGGTCAGGTGATTTCTAATGCGTAATAAGAAATCATCAGTCTGTCATTATCATTTATAAAAAGAAAATAAGCGAATAGGTTGTATAAAATACCAGACGGACTGGTAATAAACTTCGTATTTTTCTGATACCTACGCCTACTATATATAGCCTTCGTAATATAATAAAGCATTCGAAAAGTCGATTGTGTGTTTCAATTTCCAGTATAATTTTTATTTTATTGCTTTTACTTTACATAGGAACAACTCTGGATGTTTGGAATTTCCCAATATCTTTCGCGTCATACTATGTACGAAGAACGATTACATTCTCAAGGAGGGTTGGCATTAGGCAGCCTACCGGCCATAAAAGAAAAAGCCAAAAGCATTTCGCAAGGAAAATGCAGGAGTGTGTGAAAGAGGATGTCGAGTGATCAACGAGAATGGAAAAAGAAAGGTCATTGCACCCATCCTAAGTAAATTTCGGAAAAGTATAGAATCTGTAACAGTCGATACGTTGGTAGGTACCTAATACAAACAGCTAGAAGCAGCGATCAATGTAAGTTACACTGCTCTCAGCAGAAAAGTAACTACTTTTAACTTGATACCAAGGCCTGTTAGTAGTCACCTTATTCACGTTCATGTCACGTTATGTTCTGTCGTTTAACAAAGTTTTTTTAACAAAGATTTTTTCAATCATTTGCAAACGCTACTTTGAACGATTTAAAAGGTAATAAAAATAACTTTTTAAATGCTAATCTAACTCTAATACGTTTTTAAAACAAGTATAATAAATCGGAGCATTTCCTCAAATACACTCTCCCCTAGTAGCGATCCATCTCAGAAGGGTTGTAAGTATACATAAATATATGGCATACATATGTATATATATGGGTACAGATTACTACGAAAGGCGAATGTGTATTTCATCGTCAGGTAACACGTATTTTCCATTCCCAATTGACAGATATTGACCGTCCACGGTTATCCGATCCGCTTGTAGAGCCCACATTTGTATTATACATACACATTCCGTTCCTAATATATCTTGGCTCCTGCTGTCTGGAATCGATACTATAATACCCACTGATTGGTTTAGCTAATTTATAGCCTTAACATGGTTTTGAATAATTGATGTATCGGATTTTGCAAACAACACTGTTAGTATTAAATTGTATGTTGATATATTATGATACGATGGTTAATTGAAATCGAATTTAGTGCTGTCTATGAAATAGTTTGTAGGTTTTTTCACGTTGCGTACAAATACTGCGAAAGTTATTTTTATTTTCCTCAAATACAATCATTAGAAAATAGTATCTCGTAACAATAATCAGTAAACAATTCCAAACTCCAACGAAGACAAAGAATTAATGACTATTACTTTAAATAAAAAATGAATCTAAGTATGTCTTCTTTCGAGCTTTTTCCTCAAACTACGGCTGAACTTCAATTTTTACACAGAACGACTGCCATCAGACTTCCACAACCCAAGTACTAAGCGACATCGAAGTTCTGTAGAAAGACTGTTGTCGAACTTTTTAGGGCCCAGGCTACCCGTAACGATAGATGTTTTTGGTGATGGCAACCGGGACCGGTTAACGTGCTCTCCAAGGCATGGAGGGGTCTAAATTTGTTAATGGAAACCCATCCATACACTGACCTGGCTAGTGTTGCTTAACTTTGTAATGTGTTAACCAATTCGGTTACCACTTAGCCAAAAATGAATCCAAGTACCTTTATCCTTATTATAAAGTGGACTAGCTATAGATGCTTTATTTGGCCCTAGACAGTGCCGTGTATGTACCAGAGTAATACAACCATTTTATTTGTCTCACTAAATTTAGAAACAGCACCGTGAAAGTTGTAACATGTATGTGAATAAAAACTCAAAAAATACGTAAGTACCACATGGCGATTGCTTAGGTATGCCTAGATTGAGTAAACCCTATCGCTATCATCTTCATTGTATTGTATCATGACATCTGGGGCGCGACTAATGAGCAATCACGTGATTTGTTTTCAAATGTGTGATTTTGGCGCAAAGTACCCTTACAAAATAATCAAATTTATTTTTTTAGGAACTCTCATATCGAGTTGTCTTAAATTCTAAAAATTGAAAATACACCTATCATGTAGATTTTCAAAGAGAAATCTTAAGGTACTCTCGCGAAAAATGATTGACGTAAATGTGATTTTAGCGCGATTCTCTTCAGAAAAGCTTTTGCATTAGTGGGAGAAAGAGTATTGTGTAGCTATTGTTAGATGAATAGACACAGAACTCACAGATTTAACATTTTTTATACCGAATCTTGCAGATTGTAATTATTTAGTTCTGAGTTTATATACAAGAAAAGTAAACGCAATGTTTTGCTCGTTGTCAATCGTTCGTATTTATGGGACGCCGAAAACACCAAATGTGTCATGTGATAACACCAAAGGTTTGTCTACTTTGTTGAGCTAATTGCTGATTACTACGTACGTTTTACCAATTTACACAGACATTCACACATAATAATTTAAACGTTACTGATAAACTTAATTACATGAAGAAAACTGTTTTTTTTTCTGTTTTGAATATTTTGCATATTCAATAAATGTTAGAACAGAAATTTGTGTGAATGGGATCTTAACAATGCTTTTTAATATTATTTGTCATTTTATCTAACATTATTTTGAGTGAAAAAATATTTTATTTGCCTCACATTGAACATTGTTAGACCAGATAAGTCGTCGTTGTCCTATTAAATTTATTTAGTGTTAGTTTCTAAGTTAGTAAATCAAGAAAACTTTATGAACACATAGAAATCTGTTACACTTTTGTTGAGATATAATTATTGATTAACTACATAAACCAATATTTACTCTAGCAATTCTTATATTTATACTGGTATAGTCATTATAATACGAAAACAAGATCTCAAGAAGAAACTTAGGATCCATTTCTGCATAAGGCAACATACGAGTACATCGAGTGTTGAATCACTTATGTTTATATGATAAGCCAATCTTGTGTACAATAGGGGTGCATGATGTACAAGATTTACATGAATACAAAATAGTTCGTAGCGTTAAACAAAGACGTGGTGAGTTTTAGCATCATGTCGTGCGAAACTATTTGTTTTCTTGTGATTTAGGTAGATTTAGAAGCGACACTGAACGAACTAGTGAAGCGAAACTTTAATAACGAAATATATTAAACGATACAAAATGTTATGCGAGAGCTAAAATAATAAAGAGATTAACGTTTAACTAATAGCGACTAATAGGTGATATAAACACTTACGTACAAAATGGTTCAAATGAAACTCCAACCTCTTTTTCCGTTTCAACTAAACCAATTATAGGTATTATTAAATCGTCTGGACCTAACACTAAGAATAAACCTTATTTTTAGTTCTATCCTATGATCTTCGTAGTAGAAAGTCACAATGGGGACCTCATAAAAATATAGGGAGAAAAACAGGTATTCCTAAAACACATAAACCTTTTGATTTTTGTATGCTCAAGTAATTTAACGTGTTCATTATTAACTTTTGAAGAGAAATAATAAAAAGTTTCTGAACCCCTACACTAATTAGTATCTGCCAATATTTTTATTATTTTTCTTCAAATTGAAGCTTCCCGAAAATTACGTCCCTACAAGTGAAGTAAGAATACCTCTTGATTCCACTTTAGGTCACAGATAAATATCATCTTTATAACTGGAGTGCTATCGAAGGCTGGATTAACCAATGACAAAAGGTATAGTCAGCTTGTGATAACAATCAGACTGGTTGTTGCTAAGAACTTAATTACAAAATTATTTCATGAAAAGTGTTAACCTTATAATGACTCGCGATGAAAGTTCAAGTCATAAATTCACCATAAATTAAGTTACAAAAAAGTTGATTACATATTCTTTGGTTTGAAAAGAAAACATAACGAATGCTTAAAAGTCTGTAATGAAACTTCCAACAATGTATTTAACTAAATTGAAAACATTGTATTTGTTCAATGTTCTGCACAGTAAATGTTTTTTGTAACTTTTTTTATTTAACAAAGTTAGCAAACAGATACGCAGTTCACCTGGTGGTAAGCGATTATTGGAACCTCAGGTATTAGTTCGTGTTATATGTTTTTTGTTAAATGAAACTAAAAATGTAATTCTGTGGGCTTAATTAATTAATTTCTAAAATATTAAAATATGTCTGAAGCTTATTTTTTATTACCTTTAATGGTAAAATTATTAATATTTGTTTTTGTGTAATATGATGCTAATAAATGTAGACAGGGTTAAATTTATCAATATAGTGAAAGAAAGCAGTGTATAAACTATACCTGAACAGGCTTGCGGCGGCAAAGGGAATATAAGGGTGGTAGAAGACTTGCGCCTGGCGACGGCGCAGCCCAGTGACTGGGGTTTGAAGCTGCGCAGCTGCTGCATGAAGTCGCTGCACTCCATGAGCGCAACGTCCGCGAAGTGCAGGTCGCACAGGATCTGATTTTTGAAGCGACGTGCGCGTTTCTGTACAAAAAATCCAAGTCAGTCTCAATCTTAGAATAACATGCCATATATATTTTCATATTAGTTATTTTTTACTTTTTTATAATATAAGGACAAACGAGCAGATGGGTTATCCGATGGTACTTACCATCAGGTGACCCATCTGTTCCTTTGTCGAAGCTGCCCTTTTTTTAAGAAGACTACTCCCGCACTAGAAAAATATCATGTGTCGCGGGGGAGTTTACAAACAAACATTAAACGGACGCAAAGAACACCCAGACTCAGAATATCAATTTGTGAATCACATAAAGTATTGTCCCATGAGGAGATCGGACCCACAACACTCAGCGCAGTAGGAAGATGCGACACCAGCGAGGTGACCGCTTAAACCACTACGACCATCCGTGCAGTTAGTCCTTGAAGGTTTGAAAACGTGTTGCAACAAAAGCAAAATATCTATGGTCGTTTTAGAACTACTTGAGTAGTACTATGGTTACAAGGCTTCTTGAAGAAAAAATCGTGGTTACAAACGTAGAACTTGTGGAATCGTGACTGTAACGTTGGCAAACAATCAAGCCAGGATAAAAAGTGCATTTTAGTTTCTTTAATTAGATTTTTTATAAATTCGTATTCACTGTATTTCATACGGGATGTTTGTCAAGTGGTTAGAGATCCTGACTGCTAAGCCGAAGATCATGGGTTCTATTCCCACCCAGGACAAATATTTGTGTGATGAACGATCGTACATCGTTTGTTCTGTGTCTGAGTGTAATTTATCTATTATGTGTGTGTATTTAGAAATATATGTCAGTCTGGTTACCATAGTACTACATAGCACTGACTAGTTTGGGATCAGACAGCCGTGTGTGAGATGTGTGAGGTTATTATTATTATTATAAGGACTACTTATAACGTGGCTTCAGTTAGTGCAGTCTATCTTCTATAAGGAAGATTTGACAACAAAGAGCCTCCGAGCTGAGCCCGTCTTAGCATTACTACAATACAGCTATTGATTAACAGCCCGAACTAGGCTATGGTCATATCATTTGTTATACGGAACTTGATATTAATAACCCGAAATGAGGCTAGACGTGATAAAGCAATACATTTGACTTGAATACGTCATATGTAATAGCACTTGATTTCGAAAAGGTAAAGATGTTTAACAAGAGTTATTAGACATGAAACACGTCATTGTCACTGTTTAAGACTGTCTACTGATGGTCCATGCAAGAATCTTAAAGGTAAATTTATCACATCATCACATCAACAGCCTTTAATAGTCCACTGCTGGACATAGGCCTCTCCTTAGAAAGAAGGTTTTGGCCTACTATACCACGCTGGCCAGGCGGGTTGGTATAGGGTTTGTGTCAAGTTTTCCTTCTTTTTGCAGTGCTGGTGTCCTGCGTTGTTTTGCGCCCTTAGTCGGCTCTTACGACACCCACGGGATGAATTGGGGTAGCGACATTCCGTATTCTTAATCCGTCACTACGCGGACAGAAATTTATCAATTATACTGCATTGTGAGGAAGCTCCTCTGCACCCTCAATTCCATACCTGTTGGTGTAGTGGCCAATGACTCTGACTGCTCAGCTAGAGGGTTCGATTTCTACCCAGGATAAATAATTAAATAGTGAGCATGATCATTTATACTGTATTTGGGTAAGATTTGTCTATTATGTGTATTTGAACATATAATCGTATATGTATACCTATCAGTAGTCTGGTTACCATAATACAGGCTCTGCCTATTTTAAAATAAGAGATCGAGCTATTTTGAGATCAGAGGGCCGTGTGTGAGATATGTGAGCTTATAGAAATGGATTATGATTATATTTAGGAAAATCTAAAAATAAAAATTAGAAAATAGACTAATTATGATAATACATGGGTTATCATTCATTTTGTTTTCGTTTATATTTACCCGCCACATCCACGATATCTACAATAAAATAGTAATGAATGAGTACATATGTATGAGTATTGAGTACATTTATAAAATAATATTTGACTGCACGGATGGCGTAGTGGTTTTGTAACAGTTATTTTTTGTACATTTGTTGGTCTTGTTAAAAGCTACATCTATTAGCCGCGTTGCATTGTTTTTAATTTATCTAAAGTAGTTTATAACTACAGTTTTGATCTTCTGTGTTCACTGATATTAAATGTCAAAGTAAAATGTTGAAGAGGGGTTATTTTCTGGAAGCTTCGTTAACCGAAGATATATAAGTCCGGCTTTCTGCCACGGGAGACACTGCTATCTCGTGCCTTCCGATCTTATATAGTGTTTTGATTGCTGTGTGATTTGATTTTCTTAATATATTATCTGTTCAAAAGTACCCACACTAAAGTGGTGAGTATGTTCTTAATTCTACTTAAACCTATTTGTTTCTGGAACCTGTTTAATTATATGAGTGCTAATCCATTCGTAGGGTCCCAGATTTCGGGGTCAAGACGGTCAGTCTTAGACGGCGTGCTTGCTCTTTTGTGGCCTTCTGGTACAGACTCAAGTTTCTCGGTACCCTCTGGCAAAGCTGGTGATTGCGCGGCTCACGACGCAAGCGGACAGCCGTACCCATGAGTTATGTACTTAAACTTATAATTGTAATTTGTTAAACTTTTATCCATATCCAATATAAATAGCCGACTCGGGCGGAAGAGGAAGTAACCTCCTGGAGGGACGACGAGGTGGCACCGAGCACCATCAGCTCGGCTCTAACGCGCACCGCTGCGGTTTTTTTTTCTTTTCTTGTTATTGTACCCACACTGTTTAATTAGTTTAATTTGATCTACTTTTTCTTTGAAATATACATGTATGTATAACTGAGGTGTAAGTTGTTTTCCTCTAAAGAGTCCCATAGGTTTCCCACACGCACACACTTCTATTCTCATACAAGGCGCCCTGAGGTAATCTCTTGAATCTCTCCACTGGGTCAGCCGGTGAGTAGTCCGCCAGAGAGGAAAAGCGGCTACAGTTTAAGCGGTCGCCACGCCGCTTCCTACTACGCCGAGTGTTGTGGGTTCAAACCCCACATGGGACGACACTTTGTGTGATCCACAAATTGATGTTCCAAGTCTGGGTGTTATTTGTGTCCGTTTCATGTATGTTTGTAAAGTCCCCCGCGACACAGGATATTTTCCTAATGCGGGAGTTGTCTTTTTAAAGAAAAAAATAAAGAAAGAAAAAATATTTATGGTAATACTATAGAATTCATTAGCATTGGTAATCCCTCCGGTAATCCATGTAACTGTAGCATTTCATTACAAATTGATTTATAAATCCATTTATGGTTTATCTGTTTTAGAATACAGTCCGGTAAATAATTTTAATTATTTATATAACCAACCTCCGTTCTAAGGAGAGGCTTATGTCCAGCAGTAGACTGTTAAAGGCTATTGGTGATATAACCAATATATGTTTATCAACTATGTACATGTAACTCTTACTCCTCAGTTAAATTCATGAAATGAGCAGTAAGAGTTATATATTGTCATAGGCGTAGCAGGCCAAATCCTCCTTTTTAAGGAGAGGCCTATGTCCAGCAGTGAACTATTAAAGGCTGTTGATGTGATGATGATGTGATGTAGCATCGACTAACATAGGCGTGAGGGAAGTCACATCAGCGAGGGCCCTTTTCTTTTGTTCCCAAGATATAGGTGCCCAGTATGTAGGTACATCTATTTTATCAAACACGCTTTGACACGAAGTATCTACTCTTAATAGTAAAAAAAAGCGCGATGGCAGAATATTAGAAAGTACATGGATTAAAAAAAGGTTAAATTTGTAACTTGCTTGATTTTAATTTCTTACCAAAGTAATTTTTACGGCTTTTTGCTTTACTGAAGACCTCTGGTCAAGACTTGTAATTAATTTTTGCAGCTAAATCTGCTTCGACTGATTGCTAAAACAAGCAGTCGGATCTGCATGATACTGTTTTTTAAGTAGTTTTTAAACATTTTTAACTTAGAAATACTTCTTTCTGTACTTACAGATGCGTCAGATACGTCTTTGTAATAAGATTCTATGTCTTTGCATTCTCCATCTTGAAGTATTACACCTAAATTGTTACAATTCTTTAAAAGCTCGTTATTTGGCAAATATTTTATGTCCATAGGCTTCGGTCCTAGGACGTTTCCCCAGAACTAATCTTCCCCCAGGAATGAGTGTCGTTTATTACGCGGAGGTGTGGATAAGTAGGGATGCAAGTCTCGTCATCTACCAGTTCATGTATGTACTGACAACTGAATTCGAGCGGACTTGAGTAGACGGCAATGAATATATGGCTAGATCGAATAGGATGAGTTTTGTCCCCGCCAGCAATTGTATCAAAACATGGCCAGGCCACAACAAATAGGTAGTGATTGAGCCAAAAGGATCCCCCCGAGCCTGGAGCTTCTTCCGGGATAGGACCTAGTTAGGTGTTGTATTGATTCGGGATAGGACCTAGGTAGGTCCGGTATTGATCCGGGAGAGACCCGAATTCACATGGTCTAGGTCCTCCTAGAGTTGAACGCCTGAGGCCGGACGTCGGGCGGGTTCTAGAGGAGACATTACATACTCCTAACTCCTACGTCTCCAAAGCGTTAGAGATTCAAGGCGATTTTACAACCCGTCAACAAAAAAGGCACCTGATTAATCCTCCCAGGGTCCCAAAAATTTACGATCCGCCCCTGTTCATAGCTATTAATGACTGACAAGTCTCTCTCGTGCTTCGTCAATCTAACGGTCGCGGTCTTTAAATGTTGTTACAATGGCCTCACACAGTCGCACTCAAGATAGGGCTTCTTGGGAGGCTCGAAACAAATACACTTCGAGTGTAAATGTTATCAAATTAATTAGTCATCTGTGGTGAAGTCTGGGGGTATCGCATTTAAAGGAGTCTCGCGAGGCCCCCCCAAGCGCGAGGCCGTGGGCGACGGCCCACTTCGCCCGCGCCTGGACACGCCACTGTATATTGTAACGATAAAATGTACCCTGTCCGGTCCGTAACTATTTGTACATCCTACAAATACACACGTAAGTATAACCGTATGTCTTTATTATTTATGTATGCAAAAATATTACACTTTACACATAAGGAGAATTGTGTCTATAATTGGGAGCTTAATCCATCTTCGAGTTTTCATCCATGAACCCTGGATGTGAAGAAAGGATATTAAATT